AAATAGAAACAATTTTAGAGGTGTATAAGTATACATGCATTTGGTGAATAGTTTTCGAGCACCTGATATTTGAAACACATGCTGAATGCTGTAGAAGATATAAATCTGTTTGAGGGGTAGATCCTTTCTGGAAAGGATAGTTATCTGATATGGCAATTACCCTGCATGGTGTGATGGATGGAGTCAGTGGCTGCATCCCAGGTGTGTACATTGAGAGAGAGGTACAGAGGTTTGGCAAAGGATTCAGACTTTTCCTCTGCTTTCTCCAACACTGCTTAAATGAGAGACCCCAGGTTTCTCTGAATCAGAATCTGAGTTTGGGAGTCAAGAACTTAATTTTCAATGCATTCATTAGGTCGTTTTTAAGCACACTAAAGTCTGAGTGTTGCTGCATCAAATTACTGAGGCTCCTAGGAAAAAGGCACCATTCATCATGTGCATGCTTGAGACCCTCCTGGCAAGGTGGGCATAGCTGGGGAGGGTGATTGAAGGGCCCCATTCGTTTCAAAGGTCTAACTTTTCCTGGGAGTCTAATGCTTCCCAGCCCCAGTGCTTCCTGATCCCTGCTCTTAGCTTTTCTGTCTGAAACCCCTTTCGCCCCCATTGGTCTGGCTCCCATTCGTCCCCCCAGATACCAGCTTCCCTGCAGTGGGCTGTCTCCTTCTGACCTGGGGCCAAATCCTCTGCTTTTAGTATTGTTACTTGTCCTTCAGGTTTAAGCAGCTGCGGGGAATCCTCTTGTCCTTGATCCCCCTCCTGCTAGTGCTGGAGGCAGGACAGGGCCCCCTGGGAAGGAAGGAGATGCCTTAGACAGCCCCTGGAGCTGTTGACCTCAACTTCTCCAGGCAGTCTGCCCAGCTTCTCCCGTTAGCACGTCTGCAGTGAGATAAGTTAAACTTGAAATCTGCTGCTGCTGCTGCTGCTGCTGCTGCTGCTGCTGCTGCTGCTGCTACAGGGAAATGGGTAGATGGAGGGGTCAGTGTCGGGGGGAGAGTGTCTGCAAGAAGTTCCTGGCTGTTTGAGTCTCATATTTCAGATATCATCATAACAGCAGTGCCCTGGTACCTTCTTGTCCCTCTCCCCCACTTGGCGCCCTGGCCAGCTACTTTCCATTGCAGGAAACATCTGCTGGGAGTCCGTCCAGGCAGGCCAGGGGTTACTGGAGGACGTTGGCCAGTACCATCCCCAGATCCTGTAACTTGAAGCATGTGTAGGGCTCTGCCCGCCCACCCGCCCTGCCTCCCTTTCGCCCTCCCTCCTGGCACCAGCGACTAACAAAGAAGTCATTTGCTGGTTAGCCAAGAGGATCAGGGTCTGCGAGGGAAAAAGGGGGTGTGTGTAGGGATGGGAGTGAGAGCTGGCCCTCTTGTCACAGCCATTGGTGGCCACTCTCCCTGGGTGAGGGCAGTGACTCAGAGCAACCAGTGTCCACCCAGAGTAGAGATTGCACATTGAACGGGCTGCCTCGTGGGACAGACCAGACAGAGCTGGAGACCTGTGCATCGTTAGAGTTTCAGAGCAACTATGAGCCATTCTGCTGCGTGTGAATAACTGCTGGGGTCAACCTCTGGACCTGGCTGTGGGATCATCCTCTCCCTGCACAGTTTGCCTATCCACCAGGGGACTGTTGTTCAGCGTCCTTAGCCAGCCCTGTGCACCTGCTGTGTTGTCTGCCTCCTCTGGCCTCAGCTGGCATCTTGGAGTGGCTGTCCACACTGACCAGAAGAAGGAGCTTTGCATCCACTCCGAGTTGCCCTTAGCCTGAAGACAAGCTACACTGTGGGAGCCGAGCAGGGTGAAGCAGAACTTGGCCATGGGAGACTGGCTGGCCAGCTTGTCCCAAGAACCATGCTGACCACACTCTCCTTCTTGTGAAGTTTTGTGCTAGGAACAGAGCTCTAGGAGAAAAAAGGTGGTCAGTCGGGGTCACATAGACCCTCTGCCAAGAAGCCAGAGGTTACGCATCTGCATTCACCCCAGGCGAGTTCTTTTGTTTTCATCCTGTGGGGACAGAAGGGAATCAGCTCAAGGAGCTGGGCTCCACTGAGAGGTGGAACCTTGGAGAGCAATGGAATCTTTGACGGAATCTGGGGTCCTCTGGAGCCTCCTGTTGGAGCAGGACAGCCAGCCTTTGCAGTGGTACCTGAAGAAGGTTACGGAGGTACCTGCTGGTGCGGAACTCTGTTGCTGGCATGGATCTGAGGAAATCCCAGCCGTGAGTGTGCAACCTCATTTCTCTGTACCTGTGTGACAATTCTGTTGCACCTTTGTCATTCCCCACTTGGCCTTGCTACCTGGGGACCCCAGATTTGACAATCCTTAAACCAAGATTCTTTGGCCATTTTAAATTAAAATAGGTGAGCCTTGCTTTTGGAGGAGATTGCTTTCAGAGCATGGGGTGAGAGGGAGAGTTCTCTTGTGTCAAGAAGATATATAGTGGCAGGCTGATCATGTTGTCTATACTTTAGACTCTAGGAGGCTAAGGCTTGCCTGCTATCCACACTGGCAGCCTGGTAGAATCAGGGCATTTATTTGCAGGCCTGGGTTAAGAAATCACTCCACCCAAGTCAGTCCTTGTAGAACCAGGTGGCTTCAGGGGTTAGGATTAGACTTGTCCTCCTTTTTACCACAGCCTTGTTCCAAGGAATGGAGAGGTTGGAAGATTATGACCAGACTCCTATCTCCTCCACCTCTGTAGATGTCTCAATTCCCATTGAAGATGAGAGAAGCAGGCGTAAGAGAGCAATATGGAAAGAACATCAGAAATAAGAGGACTGCCAGTCTTCAGGCAGTTGGGTGCGTGATGTCCAGTTTCCCCAAGGGAGTGTGTTCTGCTGTGGCATCCCTGTTGTTTCCCTCTTGGCATAAGGACCCTGAGGCCAGGTAGAGTGATGGCTCAGACCAGGAGCTCTGGGTCAGACTGCCTTGGTTCATAGTCCACTCTCCCACTTAGTAACCACATTCTTTGGGCAAGTCGCTTCACCTCTCTGTGCCTCAACTTCCTCATGTAAAATGGGATAATAAAAACAACTCCCTGGTCAAATGAAATGCTGTATGTGCAGGGCCTCTGACAGTACTTGGTGTGTGGTAATAACTCATTCCATGTTAGCGTGATTGTAGCTCTAGAAGGTCAGTTAGGTCAGTTAGAACTTACTGATGGTCAAGCAGGGCTTTTCAGTGTGCAGACTCTGTTTTGTAAGACCAGAAGGCCATTTGGATTGGATATCTCAATATCAGTTTGAAAGTAACAATTAACATGGACCAGAGGCATGTTGTATTCTGGGTCTTTTCTAGCCACTGAAGTCACGAAATGGGCTGGCTTCCAGATATTCATTTCCAGTGGCCATGATACTTGGTTCAAACATATGGCAGGTGATTCTCGAAGTTTAGAATTCTGCTAGATAGCATTGCTTTGGCAAGGGTAGCAGGGTATCCATTCTTGCAAGTACAACTTATTTTATAAGTAACCCAAAACAAAAGTTTCAAGTTAACTATAGACAAAGTAGTTAAAAGCGCTGCATCCCAGAAAACCTCCCTAATCTGAAGTCATGCCATTTTCTCTCCTCCAAGTTCCTGAAATTCCTATTTCCTCTAATAGAAGAACCATTAGGTCACTTAGCTCATGTAGTCAGATCATGCTGTGAATGTGGTCTGGCCACAGCCTTGGCTTCCTTGTGGGCCATTCAGCTTTTCAGAAAGACAAAAAATGAATAGTCCAAAGTTCATTCCATTGTCACAACAGCTGTATGCCAGTGGATTCTCAGAGAAGCGGGTGAGAAAGTGTAAATGGCCAAGACCCATCTGTCACCATCACTAGGACAGTCCTTCTGCATGCGCATGATCCTGGCATAAGTAGGTCAGTGAACCGCCTGGGTGGAGTGCAGGTGTCGCAAAGCATGGCTCTTCCTGCACTGTGCACTGTCTTTATGCATCATCCTTGCTGCCTTTAATCTACAGGGCACATTTGTTTCTTTTCATGATTCTAAGATTGTAAGCTTGGAAACAGCAGGATTTCTGTATATTCAGCTGGCTTATGCTATTTCCAAGGAGGATCTGCTAGGGCTGTTTTTGGGTATGAGCTTTCTCTGAGGCACCCCAAAAGCTAGGTGGGCACAGGGCCATCTGGAGGCACAGGTGGTGATAGGAGGTGAGTACGGGACCAAAGATTGAGAGATCTGCCACTGATCAACTGGAGGACCTTGGGCAGAGGCCTTCTCTCTGGCCATAGTTTCCTTATCAGTAATATAAGGGTTAGATTAGATAATTTTGTCAGGAATGGTGAGGGAATGAGGTTGGGTGCCTGATGTGCCTTTAGATTCTGTATTTGTGTGCTTATTCTAATACTAGTTTTCTGGTTTCGTTTTCTTTTTTTTTTTCTTGTTTTTCTTTTTTTCTTTTTTTTTTTTTTGTCGTTTAATACAGTCTTTATAAAAGTACCATTTCCTCCTAGTTTAATTGAGATATAATTCACACATAACATTGTACTCGTCTTACGTTTTATGATTCTTTTTCCAGTGATGAATTTCATACACACCAAGTGCTTACTGTGTTAGTCACGATAACAACTTCTTTCTGAGGGGTGTGATGGGCACTATCAGATCCTGGGTCTTTCTGGGGGACCCTTGGGCCCCTGCTTTACTGTCAGGTGGCGCTTCCTGCTGGCAGAAGCAATAGCTGACATGGTGGGTTCCAGGAAGCTCCCTAAAGGTATCCCCACTTCCTTTGTCCTCTTGGGATGTAATGTGGGACTTGCTTAGTAGTATGTTTTGCTTTTTCTCACTGACTGATGTTGGATACAAAGCTTTTCACAGTATCAAATTCTCTCCACAATGTTTTCCCACACTGAGCCCCCTTTGCCTACCCTGGCCTCCTAGAGTGTATGGGATCACCCAGCCTCATCTTTGCCTTTTAAATACACAAGCAGATGCTCTTCCTGCACCTTCCTCCGCAACCCCCCAGAACCTGGGAACATCCCACTAACCTTAGTCATTGTCATACAGGTGTTAAGCCCCACTTACAAGCAGAGAAATGAAGACTTCAGAAAGCTCTTTAAGCAACTTCCAGACACGGAGCGCCTCATTGTTGGTGAGCTGGGTGGCCTGGGTGTAGGGGGCCAGGAAGGAGGTTCAGGAGTCCTAGGATAGCACTCAGGCTGCTTCTGTCTAAAGGTTCCAAGTAAGAGCCAACCCAGGAGAAAGTCTGTCTGGGAACAGGGAGAGGGGACGTCCAGAGCAATGACTCCAGTGGTTGGGGCTTAGGGTTGAGCACCCATGCGTGGTGTCCTCAAGAGAGAACCCAACCAGGGAAGAGTCACTGCCACTCTTCTCTCTGCAGATGGCCCAGCAGTGAAGGAGTGGAGTGATCGTTGGCTGAGGAGGCCATTCGATGATTTTATAGACCTTTCCTACCTCTAGCTTCCTTGCTCCCCTCCACTGTCTCAGGTGTTCTTTGGCCTCTAGGCGGTGGTGTGTTTCACACCCTTCCTGTTCCTGACAGTGAGGTTTTGGGGACCCCCTTGGTGCTGGTCCGAACATACCTAGTCAGTGGCAGCAGTTGGGCTCCCTAATGCTAGTGAGAGGGACGGTATGCCTAAGTCATAGCGGTTTACAGAAAATGCTTTCTGTCTCTGAGCTCTTCTGTCCTCTGCTCCTCCACAGATTATTCATGTGCATTGCAAAGAGACATTCTTCTCCAGGGCCGACTCTACCTCTCTGAAAATTGGATCTGCTTCTATAGCAACATCTTCCGCTGGGAAACTCTGGTAAAGACCCAGGGCTTGCTTCCTTGGACTGTTCCCTTGGCTGTGGCCGAGCAAGCTGCCTCCACTTTCTTCCCTTTGTTGACTTCATACTCTACCCAAGCCTTTTAATAATTAACAAAATCACATGCCTGTGTCTTGAGGCTAGATCTCTTCTAGCATGTCTTCCCCTCACACCCATCTGGGTTTGGAAGAGAGTATTGAGAGAATTTGCTCTTGGCAGGAGTCACTACCAAAGGCAGAATAGTAGAGTCAGAAGGGCCTTGGCCTTGAGACACAGAAGAACTGACTTGTACACTTTCAGGGTTCTGCAGCTAATTAGCTGTGTGATGTTAGGCTAGTCCTTTATTTTTCCTTTGCCTCTATTTTCTCAGAAAATAAAGTGGGAAAAAATAACCTAGATGACTTTTACAGTTCTATCTAGAGCTACTGTTCTGTTTCTGTAAGTGGCACAGAAATGGTACTTCTGCACATTTATCAGACTGTGTAGAAATGAGAAAGAAAGCTCCCTGGACCCCGAATCAGGACACCCTTGGGCTCTAGGTAAGGCTCAGTCACCACCTCACTGTGGGGCCTCTGAAATTAGGGGCTAAACTAGTTGATCTCTAAGGAAGTTTAGAAATATGTAGACTGACCTGATTTCCTCTGCCTGAACTGGAGTCATGTGAGCACTCTTTGCCTGACTCTATTAATGCCTCTTTTTGCTTGTTATCCAATCTCTGTCCCTGTGGGAATGCCAGCTGACCGTTCGTTTGAAAGACATCTGTTCCATGACTAAAGAAAAAACAGCTCGCCTCATTCCCAATGCCATCCAAGTTTGCACTGACTCAGAAAAGGTAAGTGGGGTCTAATCTTGGACTTTCTACTTCCCGCTCCCTCAAACCTGTCCCCTACTCCTGTATTTCTGTCCTTCAGTTGCATTAATGGGGTGAGAGGCGGTAAAGTAATGCAGATTGCAAGAACCACCTCCATGGTGCGCAGGGAGTTTGGGGTCTGAGCAGGAGTGAGCGTAGAGTGGCAGCACATCGGACTTGGAGCCAGAACACCTGAAGTTGAGTCCTGTGAATGTAGGCATGTTATATAACCTCTCTGTGCCTTGTTTTCTCGTGTGTAAAATGAAGCCAGCAATACTATTTAACAGTGTTGAAAGGACATCAAACATTCGAAAACACTAAATTGTAGAGCACTATCCAAATGTAAGTTGTTATCATCATCTATCAGCAAAGCTCATCAAGAGGGATGAGGAGGCAGATAGGAAATGGATTGTCCATATAGGTTTGGGGAAAATGCGGAAGATAAAATTTAAGGCAAAGAAAGCACTGTGATCTTTAACCAGAGCCTGAAGACTAATAGCTTCAGGGCTTGGAGTGGACTAGATTTCTGCCAAACACAAGGCCAACAATGCCATTGGACTCAGGCTGTGACAAGAACAATGAGACTTTGGCTCAGATAAGTCTTTGGTTTGAATTCTGTTTCTGGCATGAATCAGCTTTGTGATTATAGAAGTCGCCTAACTTTACCAGCCTGTTTCTATTTATTAGGTATTATACTAACAGTTATGTTTATTTTCCAAGGTTTTTGTATAGTGTAAATGAAGCAGCAATTGTGAAGCACCTAGAATGTGTTCCATAAAACCTGGTTTTTGTCAGTTTCTTCCTGCATGTTATAAAGCAAGCAGGGATCCCCAATGGTACCTCTGCACATTATCAGACTATTAGGAACTGGGCTGCACAGCAGGAGATGAGCAGCGGGCAAGCCAGTGAAACTTCATCTGTATTTGCACTCCCCAGCGCTGGCATCACCACCTCAGCTCCACCTCAGATCATCAGGCATTAGATTCTCATAAGAGCACCAGTCTCTGGTGCCAAAAAGGTTGAGAACCGCTGCTATAAAGAGTCTCCACTAATATGTAAGCTCCATTAGAGAAGAGGTCTCTTTCCATTTTCTTTACTGTTGTGCCCAAACATGTAAAATAGTACCTAGCACATGCTAACATTAAAATATTTGTTGAATTAATGGGTGAAAGGGTGAGTGGGTGAATAGATTTGTCTTTTTTCCTTTAGGCTAGTTCACAGCTCACCACTCACTCAGTTCCAGTTTATAGGTGAAAGAAGTTTTTTATAGAGGTGAAAACTTAAGACGAGAGGAAACACTGAGGAAAGTATGAGTGAAATTTGAAGGACTTGGTTGCAGTGGGGACTTAGAGGTCCCAGATACCTGTATGATCCCCATCACTGGAAATACCTGTGCTGTGATCATGAGTAACAGAGTCAGTAGTATTTGAGGGCGTAATTTGTAGCCTTTTTAGAGGAAGGAGCAGCATGTCCCTATTCATTATATTATAATGTGTTAACAGACATTTCTTGCCATTTTCTCTTCCAATCTAGCACTTTTTTACTTCATTTGGGGCCCGGGATAGGACATATATGATGATGTTCCGGCTGTGGCAGAATGCTCTCCTCGAAAAGGTAAGGACTACCAAGCTTCTTCCTTTAGCCTGAGGAGAACGCACATCCAACAAGTGTTCTTTCCCCTTGGGCGCGGGCCTTGTGAAAAGGTTACTCTTGCTTGGGCATCGGTAAGCTCCAAAGAAGCCATATTTCCTCCCTGTCCTGGAAATCCACCAGACTGTATCACTGAGTAGCCTTTCCTGTCATATGAACAGCCAGCCTTACTGCTGCTTGTTGCAGGGCCCTCACCGACTTTAGGCACTTCGGTTCCACTGTTTTAAATGTATCAGGATTTATTTTAATCAGGTATGATAAAACACACAGACATGGAAATGACTGTCCGTAAGTTTTTATGCTCACAGACACCTAGAAGCAGAGGTACATCGTGCCATGCTGGGCCACATGGGGGAAGCACCAGGGTCAGCCAGAAGGCAAAGAGAGCACAGGGAAAGCATGGGCAAGAGCCTTTATCATGGTTTTCCAGGGAAGGAATGGGTGATACAGGGTAGGCAGGCCAAGTGGTTGTAAGATTGGCTAGTTTGAATAATGTAGTAGGGCTTAGGGATATAGAGACTGTCACTAGTTGTCTCGTACCTGTCCCTGGGTTATGAGGGCAGGGGAATATTGGCCTGGGGTGTAAGAGCTAGATAAGAAGGTGGTTGGGGGTATGAGCTTTGGATTGGCTGGTTACACATGAAGGGTGTACTCTATTTAGCGAGTTGTTTCCTATCTCTAGAAATTAGGAATTAGCTAACCCTGGGAGGGGTAGGCCCTCCCCAGTCAGCGAGGCCTCAGATGCCAGAGCATCAAAAATATCAAAATAAGGAAAATAGAATTAATACAGCACCAGTTGACTACTGTAGTGTCTGAAGGACACTGGAAGGAGATGCAGATGATGGGGATGTTAGTGGCAGCCCTTAGAAAACTCCCATTCAAATGTCCTAGTGTTGAGAAACAGCTCCAAGCTAGAGCAGAGAACATAACAAAAATTATATAATTACATTATATTTGACATATATTTAGATATAGGAATGCATCTACCTTGACTCTAGCCCAAACATTACTATCTAAAGAAAATTGAGTAGATTTATTATGTAGAGTTTCTTCTAACCTTAAAGTCTGTAGCCTTGGTATAAATCCTCATAACTTATTTGAGCTGAGATCATCTGCCTTTATTAGCCATTGATAAAGGTAAAGTGATAATGTATTTGAACCTCTGCTGGCAGGTTTGAATATATGGTTCACAACCACTGTCAACTTCTAAATATGACAGGGTCATCCATGTGGTCTACGAAAGTCCTAACGATGTAACTGTAAAAGTTCTGCCTGATGAGCAGGGTCTGCTCACTATGCTTGTTCCGACTACGGTCAGAGAAGGCTGCATGGAGAAGGTGAATTGTTAAGAAGGGGAAGGCATGGTTTGGCAGAGATGCACATGTGGCCCAGGCAGGATGAATGGTGGACATAAGGCCAGAGATAGGAGCAGGAGGTCCAGATAAAAGAGGAGTGCCTCCCTCTAGTGCCATTAGGGCCAGGGCAGAGCTGCCACCCCCACAGAGGCCTGGCTGTGCTGTCCTGGGCAGTTCTCTGGAGTCAGAATACTGAAACTCTGGCTCACAGCATCCTGCCAGCTGCCTGCTTCTTAAGCCATACTTTGAAAGGATGGGCTTAGAGTGTTCTCAGATGCTTTATCAAATCTATTGGTGGGAAACGTTCTTTAAATGTGATTTTTTAAAAAAATAAGATATTAACTGCTTCTATTTTCCTTATGCTCTTGCTCTCCTTTTTCACATACTTATCGCTACTACCTTTTCCCCCTCCTGCCAGCCCAAGGCTCATTCATAGTATTCACCTCTGATCTTACTTCTTTGACATTCTGTTGCCTCTTTCCTGAAACTGTGTACTTCTTGAGAGCTAACGTTTTTTAGGACAGTGCTTTTGAGGAAAACATGTAGACACCCAGTGAAATAAGAAACACTGGAACTAATACATAGAACTATAGGCAAACTGATTCTGCTTAAGAATAAAGTAGGGAGTATTCAGCTAGTCAACAGAGGATCAGATGCAATGACCTTTGAGGCCCCTTAAAATATGAGAATGTAGGCTTCTTTCTAACTGCAGGAACTCTTCAATTATGTAATGGGCCAGCATTAGATGTGATCCAGCAGGGTCTGCATGGCCACTGTTAGTGTAAAATTTCTGCAGTATCAGGGAGACTGGCTCAAGGGATCTCTCGTGCTCCTTCCACATCAACCTCAGAAGCTCCATGATCCCCTTGGCCCCAGAGCAACATCGGTTTATGCTGCTTAATGCTGAACCTCATCCATAGGAGCAAAAAGTGGACAGTTACCACCAAGGGACCAGTTGGTCCCTTATGCAAACCTGAGTTGAGGGAATACGCCAAGTTCCTGGCTTTGCTAAAAGACGTATTCTTAGGCAGAAGATTGGTATCTAGCTGAGATTCTTAGAGGAGGGTGGGGTAGCGGGGCAGGGTCAGCGATGAGGTTGTCATGGAGGCATTGCTCACTCTCAGTTTGGCTAGGGAGAATGGGTGCAGCTGTTCCTACCCTCAAGGGAGTCCAGCCCAATTCAGTGCCTCCCTATAGAGTGGGGTCCTGAGGAAGGAAGCATCAGTCTCTGTTGTTCCCTGCAGCCCCTGTGCCCCAAGGAGCTCTGGCACTTTGTTCACCAGTGCTACGGGAATGAATTGGGCTTGACCAGTGACGACGAGGACTACGTACCCCCCGATGATGACTTCAACACGATGGGGTGAGAGAGGCAGAGGGCAAGCTGCCAGGAGCCTTTCCTAGAGGGGCTAGGATGGCAGTGAAGGCCTCACTGGGGAATGTTATATAGGCAAAGCCCTAAAGCTAGTGAGGGAATGAACCAGGAGGATATCTGCGGGAAGACCTCTCAGGCAGAGGGAACAGTAAGCGGGTGGCCGGTGGAATGGAAAAAGGGCACATGGAGGAGGAGGGGTCAGGAGGCAGGTTCTGAGAGCCTTTTGGCCAAAACGATGATTGGCTTTTACTCAGAGTGGGATGAGAAGCCGTGGGAAGGCTTTGAGTAGGTAATTGATAATATCTGACTTAACATTTTAACAGAATCACTCTGGATTTTGTGTTGAAACACATCAAAGGGGGAGCAAGGGCAGGCTAGCTAAAAGGCTATTGAATAATTTAGATTTTTTTAGATGAGAGGTGATGGTGGTTTAGATCAGGAGGGTAGCAGTAGAAATGGCAATAATTGGTTAGTTTCTGAATATATTTTGAAGGTAGAACCAGAAATATATTGAAGGATTTGATGATGGATTGGAAAGGAACCAAAGGTGGCTTTAAGGTTTTCTTGGATTTACCAAGTGGAAGCATAGAGTTCCAAACTGAGATGGACAGCACCATAGGCAGAGCAGATTGTGGGGGAAGAACAGGAGCTTGGTTTTAGGTAACTTGAGTTTGAGATGACTGTTACTCAAGTGAAGATGTTTTTTAGGCATTTGTGAATATGAGTGTAGAATTCACTGGGGAGTCTAGGCTAGGGACATACATTTGGAAACTTCAGTGGATAGCCATGAGATTGGCTGAAACCACCAAGTGATTGAATAGACATAGGAAGAAGTTAAAAAACTGGGCTGGGAACACTCAGCAGGAGGAAGAAGCAGCAAAAGAAATCATGAAAGAACGTCCAGTGAGGTAGGAGGAATGCTAGGAGAGTTTTGTATCATAGAAGCCAAGGGAAGGAAATTTTAAGGAGAAGGAGATATCACTGCATCACTGTTGGAATGTTAAGAAACATGGGAGGTTGGAAAGGTAGGCTTGGTGGTATTGTGAGAGGCACAGAATTATAGAAAGCGAGGAAAGAGCTTCAAATGTATAGTACATAGACTTGGGCTCAGGTACAATTTCTGACACTTCATAGTGGTATCATTTAACTTCTGTGACTATCTATTTGATTCTCTCTAAAATGCATACAGTGATTTACTCAGAGCTGTTATACATCCAGATGAGGTAATACATAAAGTATAAGTCACGTGTTGATAAAGACAATGACGACTTTTCTCTTGGAAGAGGGTGGCATCCCTGAAGGGTCCCTAGAAGCGCACCCACCTTTAGCTCCAGAATGGTTTCCCCTTAGGTATATAATGCCAAGAAGTTAACTAGTTATAACCCAGAATCTGGGTAGTACCCCTAAAGGGCAGTCATGTCCAGAGTCCTGTGTGGGAAAGAAAATGTATGCTCAAAGCCCAGACATTTAATTAAAATGGTCACATTGAGATGGATTAGGATGCCAGTGGCGGGGAGGGAGGGATAGTTTAGGACAAATAATGGTCATATTTAGGTAGTGATAAATCTAAGGAGGGTGCCTAGAAAAGGTGAGTATGGAGCCGGGAATTTTACATCGTGGTAGAGGGTAGAGAACAATATCGGAGTAAGGAGTGGTTAGAGGGAGATCATATGCAAAGCTAAGAAGCAAGAAAGCCCATAGTTTTGGATGGATAGATAGGTCTAAGGTTTTAAGATATTTAGCAGTCTTGACCATTGAGGTTAACATAGACTCACGGTGTCTTTTTTTTTTTT